ATACCAACTTAGCAAGAGTGGTCTTCCCCAATCCTCCAATTCCCACAATGGGAATAACACACAAACTCTTATCACCATCACCATCACCATCACCCTGAGGATGAGGTTGCATTAAAAGCTTAATAATTTCTTCCCTATCATTCTCCCTTCCTATAACATCCAAAGCATCTACATGAGAGAAAGTCATTTCTCTCCTTTGCGGAATAAATCCAGGATCAACACTTGTTGCTGCAAGACCAAATCTAGTCCCGTCAGTTGCTACCTTATCCAATCTATCCTTAATCTCTTTGATTTGATGTGCCATCTTACAACGGAAAACAAAAGGATTAGAGGAAGATAAGAAATGGCTTACCTTCAGCCGAGTGCTGCTAGAAGCTTCTAGAACTTGCTTTTTCTTGTGTTCCAGCTCAAATCCATCGAATACATTTTCAGCATCAGAACAAATGTTTTGAATCTGTCTCATCCATTCACGCAAGGCATGTGGTTGCTTCTTCTTTTCTTCAGCATCCAGTAGAAGTCCTTTGACAATTGATAGAGTGTCTTTGATTCCTTGAAGATCTTCGTAAACACCAAAGGCTCGAGAAGCTTCTTCACAAACATATGAAGCAAGCTTTCCGAGCAATGAATCAGCCATATCAAACACAAATGATTCAGCCATGAATGATCACAAAAGTAAATGAGGAAAATGCAAAAGTGGATGTAATTGTGGCTTCAGTTCAGATACATACTTTGCAAAAGTGGTTTTAAATAATGCATGAGAAAGTAAATACAATAATACATTATTTTATAATGACGTAAATGCCCTTGATGTTGTAGAAAGTAATCTCAGCCCTCCAAGCACTCTCAGCCCTCCAAGCAATCTATCCACTTTCTACAACATGAGATTATTATAAAATGAACGGTTATATCAATGATTAGATGGATATCACACTTGAGATTAATATAAAATGGCTATTAAAATTATCATTATTAATATGGCAAGGTGACTGATCACACAAACATGTATTTTTTTTCTTTTGAAAGTGGGTGTCCTCTATCGCTTTCAAGCTGGGAGGATTATAATAAACGGTAATTTTTTTCTCAAAAGAATTTAACTTGCGTGTTTTGAATTGGGCGTTTTGAGTTAGAATCGAATTCAGGATCTCTGTGTAAACTTGAAGTGAACTTTAATATTGCAACATTATAACTCTTCTAGTGAGTAATTTAAGGAGACGAATTTCATCGAGTTAAGAACTTTGAAGTCTTAAACTTTGATTGGTTCATGTTAAAATATATTGCATAAGAGCTATCTTCATGTTTATCATGCTTATTCACACTTGTCACTTTAGAAAACGCTTATTTAAAATTATGTTAAGAGTAAGTTTGAGTTTCTATTTTTAGAAGTTAGTTGGTTAGTTTCTTATCTAGATTGATATATAAATTTGTTGTAATCTCATTTGTTCTCTTGATCTGAATCAATGGAATAACATATTCTTCTTCAATTGTTCTTCAATTGTTGTTGTTGTTCTTCTTGTCCACGAGTATTACAATATTTTAACATGGTATCATTCGTCATTTTGATTCAACCTTACACTTCCGCTCCACCTCTAATTTTCTGCTCCATCTTCTTCATCAATAGCGTTACCACGAAATGCTCCAATTCTTGATCCACAACTTGATCAAGCTAGTCCATATTTCGAACATCCAAGTGATGGACCTAATTCAATCAAGGTTACACATCTTTTTAATGGTTCCAATTATCATTCTTGAGCACGATCAATGCGGCCTGCACTTGGTTCCAAGATGAAACTGGAATTCATTGATGGTTTCATCACAATTCCAAACGATCCTTTTAATACAACCATGTATGTTTGGAACCGATGCAACATGTTAATCCTTTCATGGATCATCTATTCAGTTTTTGAATCTATTGCTCAGTCAATAGTTTACATTTAAAACTCCATTGATGTATGGAAAGATCTCAAGGAAAGATTTTCACAAGGTGATCTTATTCACGTTTTTGAACTTCATAAGAAATCAATGCTTTAAAGCAAGATTTCAAAAGGAAAGATTTCACAAGGTAATCTTATTCACGTTTTTGAACTTCAGTAAGAAACCAATGCTTTGAAGCAAGATTCCAAATTTGTTACAGATTTTTTTCAAAACTCAAATTTTTTTTTAGGAAGAATTAGATATCTATATACCAATTCTCAACTGTGTTTGTCGAATTAGATGTTCATGTGCAACTATGAGGAATGCATAAGATAATCACAATTTGATATATGTTATATGTTTTCTCACAAGTCTGAATGAAAACTTTGATATAGTGAAATCACAAATTCTCTTAATGGATCATTTATCAACCATGAACAAGATCTTTTCTATGGTGTTACAACATGAAAGGCAATGTAACTTTGCTCCCTCTGATGATTCTCAAACTTTGATCAATGTTGTAAGCTTCAAAAGGTCAGGTCTAAAATTGGACAATTCCAACTTTCAATCCAATACATTTAAGTCCAAAATGTGTACTCACTGTGGAAAAATCGGTCACACTATCAAGGTTTGTTATAGGAAACATGGTTTTCCACCTCATTTTGATAATAAAGTATCCATGGAAAACAATGCTTTTTCAAGTGAAAATGAAGATGACAACAGTGTCATATAGACAACATGCTAATCTATACTAAATAAGTTAAGCTTAACAAAAACTAATACTAATACTATTAAATATCAATTAATTTTCTTAACACATCCCTTATTTCTTTTGGATTAATAGTTTTTGTCCTTTTTCATTATTAAGCTATGTGACAAGTTATGCCACACAATGCCTTTGAATCTCAACATGTTTATAGTCCAAGATATGATAAGTATATCTTGTGTCATTAAAGAAAAAATAGTACTGGTAAGATATTTCAACCACACCAACTGACATTTCAACACAATCAACCCCATATGATTAAACAACGTCTCTGAAATCCACTGACGACAAAATCTTGGCCCTTGAATAAATTATTGTGTCTCGAGAATCCTGACGTCAAAATTGCCGTAAAATTCAATTCGTCCTCAAATAAATTCCAAAACTCGAAAATGGAAATCCTAATCACTTGAGGAACGGTTGATGATGACACAAGCTCATGAACTTTTGCCAGACTGCCATTAATGACCATTTTACCCTTCATAAGTTAAAGAGGGCTCAACATGATTTTCCCTGCAGAATCGACAGACTACACGAACTTGTTAGTGATTAGTTAAATGCAATGCAAAAGTGAAATGGAATGCGAAATAAAACGACCAATCTAAGAGAAAATTTTGGGGTATTACAGGGGTGAATAAGATTTATTGGACTTTCTAAAAAATTTCTATTTTATGAAAAATGTCGAGTGTTCTTATTTTTCCTGAAATGAAAAGAATGATAAAATGCAGAAAGTAAGTGCTGGAAAAATAAAAGACATCGTACGTCTAATCCCCTCACACCCTGTGAGAGATTGCACTGTATTAGAATTTATATAATCCAACTACTAGAAATACAAGAATTACCTGTGGATTTTCTTGTGGAAATTTATCCGCAGATGTACCTGCGATTTTACCAGCGAATTTACATTATAAAGAATTATTTTCTGCGAAAATTGAGGTAGCAGCAAAGTTCACAGAAATTCCTTAGACTTTACTGCAATTTTGGATTTATAACAATATATCATGCGACATTTTCCTGCGACATTTTCCTACGACTTTACCTACTAAATTAATTACCTACGAAGGTTTTAGTTGGGAACAGAAAATAGCAGGAAGAATCGCAGGTAACACGTTTTCTGCGAAAATGTTGTCAAATTTCGCAGATAAATCCGCAGAAAGACCGAATTTTTCTAATAGTGTCCTCACACCAAGGTCACTCATACACTAATCTAACACAAAAGAAAACCCACCATTTTCTTTTACACTTTGAATAAAAATCACACCACTTTTAATCTCAAACAAAGATCACTTAACACTTAGTGATCTAGTAAAAACATAATGTTGTAAAGATGAAGATTTGAATATGTACAAAACAAATTTACAATAGATCTTGGTTTAGAACAATCCAATACATTTTAGAAAAGAAAAATCCACACCATCTCTTTACCTAATAAAAATATACAAAACATTACAATAGATTAAGTATCATATACCTAATAAAAAAAGATTTAATAAATATATTTCAAAATAAAAGTTTATTCTCAAAGTTTGATCTTAAATCTGAATATTATCAAATACATTTAAAAGAAAGAAATAGATATAAAACTGCTTTTGTGGTGCTTCAAAATGAATGGAATTTCATGCCACTATGGTTAAAAAATTCACCTTTTGAATTTCAAGATAGTATAAACAATATATTCAATGATTACTCTCCTTGGCATTTTAACCATACTTGATTTAACAAAGATATCTCTCTTAATTTTTCTAGTTGGTTAGTCCAATAGCTTTTAAGTTATTGGACCACCTTTAGAATTTTTCCCAATTTATGTCGGAAAGACTCTTTTAGATTTTTCTGAAAAAACTATTTGTCCTCAATATAAATCTCTATTTTTTACTGAATTATTTTGCAAAGGGTTTTCTTCCTTCTAATTAACCAGAAAATTTTCTATCAAATAGTGGTCGAAGTTCAACCCAGAATTACTTTCTCAATCAAGATTAAATGGTTGGTTTTAAGCATATCTTGTTGGTTGCCCACAATTATTGCTCATACCTTTTTTTTAATTATTAGTTTCTATCCTTTTTCATTATTAAGCTATGTGAGTCATACCGTTAATTATTATTGTTTTAGAGTTTGTCGTCTTTTAGTTATTGAAAATCATGTGATCAAAATAGTACTAGTAAGATATTTCAACCATGAATGGGCCCATACAGTTCAAAGCTTCCCCAACAATTTTCATGTGCATGCCAGCCAAGTTCTGACCCTAATAAATATTCAGTGCAAGTGCATTAGGCAGGAAAGAAGCATAAGTTTAATTGATCTAAATATTGCTATTAAGAAAATTATAGAGATGGCAGAACATTTTGTGAATCAGGGAAAAGAATATGCAGATGCAAGACCAAGTTATCCACCACAGCTCTTTCAATTCATAGCTTCTAAGACTCTCTCTCACAATCTTGCTTGGGATGTCGCCACCGGAACCGGCCAAGCTGCTAAATCTGTGAGTCTCTCTCTTCTCTTTTATTAAACATTTCTCTTGTTTTTGTATGACAAATATAACTTGTGATTTCAGTTAACTACTTTGTACAAGAATGTGATTGCTACAGATGCTAGTGAGAAACAGCTTCAATTTGCAACCAAACATCCTAACATAAGATACCAACACACCCCATCAACCATGTCCATGACTCAGCTTGAACAAATGGTGTCATCCCAAGGAACCATAGACCTTGTCACCATTGCTCAAGCCCTTCACTGGCTTGACCTCTCATCTTTCTACAAACAAGTCAACTGGGTTCTCAAGAAACCTCACGGTGTCATTGCTAGTTGGTGTTACACTTCACCAAGAGTTAATGATGCAGTTGATGCTATGCACAATAAGTTATATTCTCTTGATGCAAAGCCTTATTGGGATCCAAGACGGGAGTTACTTGAGGATAATTATAGAAGCATTGAGTTTCCATTTGATCCTGTGGAAGGAGTTGATCATACGGGACCGTTTGAGTTTGAGGGTGAGACTGTGATGGATGTTGATGATTTCTTGAATTATATAAGATCAAGATCAGCTTATCAGTCATCGAAGAAGAAAGGGGTTGAGCTTCTTAAGGATGATGTTGTTGAAAGATTCAAACATGCTTGGGGTGATGATGGACAAAAGATTGCTAAGTTTCAAGTATATTTGAGAATTGGAAAAGTAAGGGATGCTTGAAAATATGGAAATGATTGAGTACTGTGCCGCAACATGTTCTTCACTAGTAAATTTTTAGAAAATAATACTATTGTCTTGTTCTTGTCTTAGTATTATAATTGATATTTCAATTAGCTATAAAATAATACTCAATCAACTATAAAATATTTAAGTGTTACTCATATTTTTTTGCAATTAGCTTTGAATGTGATCCAGAATCACCATGTTGTTTTGATTAGACTTCCAACTCTTATTGTTACCGAAAAATTTGAATAGGTTTATCTATAAGTTTCCTTTACAAGACAGATATACAGGGTCATGTTTGAATTGTTTTAAACCTCTATTTGAGATGTCTCATTTATATAATTTTTCTATGTCTCATTTACTATGTCCACTTTTTTCATTGGGGGCACTTGTATCAACTAAAAAATCTCCATGTGCTAGCGTATTTTTTCGAACAATGTTGTGTATTTGTTGTTGTTTGCTATGTGTCAATTAGATGCCAATTATGATATACAAAGCTGTGAGACATTGGATCGAACTCTAGTGTGGTCGAAGTCTGTTCGCAAGTAATGCGTGGTGTAGTCGAAGTTTGTTCTAACATGCATGAGTAAATATTGCTAAGGTTGTTAGCATGAGTAAATATTGCTAAGGTTGTTAGCATATGAGTAAATATTGCTAGGGTTGTTAGCATGTGCTATTTTATTATAAATAGGATGCTAGTTTCTCAATCTTGGCATAAGGAAAAATAGGAAGATAAAATCCTAATTTCAAGGGAGAGAGGTTATTTTGTTATTCTTGTATACTTGTAATCTTGTTCTAAGAGAAAGGAAAGAATAGCAGTTTAATAACCAATTCTTGTTGTTCCTTGTTGTTTTACCTTGCCTTCTTTGTTAACCCTAACCCTTGTATGTTTCTTGATCATTAAGAAACCGTTTATACTTTGTTTAAAGGTATCTGATTCACAACAAATTGGTCCGGTGAGCGTGGAAAAGATGCCTTCAACAAAGTATGAGATTGAAAAGTTCACCGGAGTGAACGACTTTGGTCTGTGGCGCTTGAAGATGAAAGCCCTATTGGTTCAACAGGGTTGTTTGGAAGCGTTGAAGGGTGAGGCATCCATGGACGCTGCGTTAACGGCAAAAGAAAAGACGGGCATGATCGAGAAAGCCCACAGCGCAATATTGTTGAGCCTTGGTGATAAGGTTCTTCGACAGGTATCAAAGGAGACTACAACATCGGGATTATGGGTGAAACTTGAAAGTTTGTACATGACCAAATCTCTGGTGAATCGACTATACCTGAAGCAAGCTTTATATTCATTCAAGATGAGTGAAGACAAAGTGTTGGCTGAGCAGTTGGATATGTTCAACAAGCTGATTCTTGATCTTGAAAATATTGATGTGAAGATCGATGATGAAGATCAAGCACTGTTGCTGCTGTGTGCTTTGCCCAGAACACATGCTCACTTCAAAGAAACTCTCTTATATGGAAGGGAGTCCCTGACCTTTGAAGAAGTTCAATCAGCCTTGTATTCTAAGGACTTGAACGAACGAAAGGAGCATAAACCTTCGACGGTGGGCGAAGGTTTGGCCGTTAAGGGAAAATTCTTGCGAAAGGATGGTAAGTTCGACAAGAAAAAAGGTAAAAGTCAATAGAAGTCTTATAGTGGCGAAACATCTAGTATTCGATGTTACCACTGTAAGAAGGAGGGTCACATAAGAAAGTTGTGCCCTGAACGCCTGAAAGATCATGGAGGTAATGGCAATGCAGCCATTGTTCAAGATGACTTCGACTCATCTGATGTTCTTGTGGTTTCAAGTGGCGACTCGAGGAAAGAGTGGATTATGGATTCAGGTTGCACTTGGCACATGACTCCAAACAGAGAATTGTTCGAGGAGCTATGTGATCAAGATGGTGGATCTGTGTTGTTAGGAAACAACAAATCTTGCAAAATTGCAGGTATTGGATCTGTGAGATTCAAGCTCCATGATGAGTCAATAAGGTTATTGACTGAAGTCAGGTACGTACCTGACTTGAAGAGAAATTTGATTTCTCTTGGTGAATTTGACAGAAAAGGATATGTTTTTCAAGGAGAGAAAAGTATCCTAAGAGTCATGAAGGGGTCGAAGGAAGTCTTGAGAGGCGTGAAGAAACAAGGCTTGTATACCCTTGAGGCTGAGGTTGTAAGTGGTTCGACAAATGTTGCATCCACGAAATCTATGTCGAAGACAAAATTATGGCACATGAGATTGGGCCATGTCAGCGAAAGAGGCCTGGTTGAATTGGGAATGAAGACACCTGAAGAAGTTTGGTCGGGACATCCACCTAGTCTCGACAGACTGAGAGTATTTGGCTGTGTGGCCTATGCTCATATTAGGCAAGACAAGGTCGAACCTAGAGCTCTGAAATGCATGTTCATGGGATACCCTGAAGGAGTCAAAGCTTATAGGCTATGGTGCCTAGAGCCAGGTCACAGGAGGTGTATCACCAGTCGAGATGTAGTTTTCAACGAAGCAGAGATGGCTTTCAAGAAAACTGATGATGCTGACGAAGAGCTGGAACAGGGAGAGATTCCTGTTGAGGTGGAGCATGTTGATGCTGAATTGCTTACCCCAGATGAAGTCGAAGAAGACACAGAAGATGTTGTCGAAGATGAGGAGACTGATAATGACTACCTGCTAGCAAGAGACAGGTCGAGGAGAGTCATCAAGCCACCTCAGAGACTTGGGTATGCAGATCTTATAGCTTATGCCTTAATCTCTGCAAGTGAGGTTCTAGACGAAGAACCTAGAGACTATAAGGAAGTTATGAGGAATCAAAAGAAGACAAATTGGTCTTTGATGTATGATATGGTTTGTACTAGACCCGACATAGCATATGCAGTAAGTCTTGTAAGCAGGTACATGGCGAATCCTGGAAAGGCTCACTGGCAAGCATTGAAGTGGATTTTAAGGTACATAAATGGGTCTCTAAATAGAGTCCTAATTTATGGTGGAGCCTTAGGTGAAGATAGTAAAGCAGCAATCGATGGATATGTCGACTCTGATTATGCAGGTTGTATGGATTCCAGAAAATCTATCTCTGGATATGTGTTCACTATGTTTGGGACAACAATCAGTTGGAAATCAACACTTCAGAAGGTCGTTGCCCTATCAACCACTGAAGCGGAGTATATTTCCCTAACTGAAGCTGTGAAGGAAGCATTGTGGCTTGAAGGTTTTGCAAAGGAGCTAAAACTTCAAGGTCGAGTTATCACTGTTAAATGTGATAGTCAAAGCGCAATACACCTGTCGAAGAATTCAGCCTATCATGAGCGAACCAAGCACATTGATGTGAGGCTGCATTTCATCAGAGGGGTAATCGAGCATGGAGAAGTCCAAGTGCTGAAAGTTTCGACAGATCATAATGCTGCTGATATGATCACCAAGACATTGCCCAGTTGCAAGTTTTTCCACTGTATGCAGTTAATAAATCTGCATGAAGAAAGCTAGTTTCTTGATGTTATAGAGTTAGATCCAAGGTAGAGATTTGTGAGACATTGGATCGAACTCTAGTGTGGTCGAAGTCTGTTCGCAAGTAATGCGTGGTGTAGTCGAAGTTTGTTCTAACATGCATGAGTAAATATTGCTAAGGTTGTTAGCATGAGTAAATATTGCTAAGGTTGTTAGCATGAGTAAATATTGCTAAGGTTGTTAGCATGTGCTATTTTATTATAAATAGGATGCTAGTTTCTCAATCTTGGCATAAGGAAAAATAGGAAGATAAAATCCTAATTTCAAGGGAGAAAGGTTATTTTGTTATTCTTGTATACTTGTAATCTTGTTCTAAGAGAAAGGAAAGAATAGCAGTTTAATAACCAATCCTTGTTGTTCCTTGTTGTTTTACCTTGCCTTCTTTGTTAACCCTAACCCTTGTGTGTTTCTTGATCATTAAGAAACCGTTTATACTTTGTTTAAAGGTATCTGATTCACAACAAAAGCTTTATTAAAAACAATAAAAAACAACACATCACATCAAATCAGATTCATACGGTTAAACAAAGAAAGTCATGATACATCAAAACAAACCACAAAATAAGTGGCCTTGCCCACTTTCTCAAATTAAGAAAAAAAACACATGTTAGGACAAAAGAAAGAACTATTACATTGCCCCCATTAAACTACTTTCTAACATTGACATGCTTCTAAAAAGAAGGTAGCATGAAGCGGGACCTGGAACATGTTATTATCTCATATTGTTACTACTCCAAAATACTTTTTTGGTAATATAATATTACTACGCCTAATGTTTATTTATTTATTTTTAAAGTTATTTAATCACGATTGATTTAAAAACTGCGGTGATAAATTGAGTGGTACAAGGTTTAAATCCTGACAAATATATATATATATATATATATATATATATATATATATATATATATATATATATATATATATATATATATATATATATATATATATATATATATATATATATATATATATATATATATATATATATATATATATATATATATATATATATATATATATATATATATATATATATATATATATATATATATATATATATATTACAGAAAATGTGTGTCACTTAATTTCATAAATAAATAAATTGAAAATTATTTAATCACAGTTGTAATATGATTTGTACAACATTTGCTCTTACCAAAAGAGAGAAACAACTATAATGATGATTAAAATTTTTCTTCATTTCTCAAGACGGTCACAAGTCATTCAAGAATGTTAACCATTAAAAATAATCATTGCAAAGATTAAGTCATCAGATGTTTTATCGCCAACCTCTTTTATAAATGCATAATTTCATATAAATAATCTCCACTTCTTCAAACTATTCTTCTTAACTTTCTTTAGCAACATCAGTTCTTCATCTGAGAATGCTAACATAAATATGTCAACTGAAGTCACCACAGTCCAACAACATCAGTAGTCAATTGAGGAGGTCCATCCATCTGGATGGACTACTGTCAGAGATACACTGAGGGTAAGGAAAGC